TACGAAAATGAATAAGAATTTGGAAAAAATGTGTAGGTATGCTCTTTTCTCGCACCACTCTGGCTATAAATTTACCATCTTTGAAAATAAACAAAATTTCGTTAGACTACGTTCCACAACAAAAAAATTTAGGTCTCATTTTTACTCAAAAGTTAGATTGGGATCCTCATATTGACAATTTAGTTAGTTCGGCAGGAAAGTTAGTAGGATCAATCAGATTTCTAAGTAGATCGTTGTCACGTAAGGCACTCTCTTTAGCTTATATTGCCTTTGCTCTTGGAAGAATCAACTATGCAAGTGTCATTTATTCGGGCACAAGCGAATTAAACTTGAAAAAACTTAACACCTTACAATATGAGGCTGGGCGTGCGATCCTAGGAGCGATGAGTGGTACTTCATACGAAAAAGTTTGCTCTGAACTCGGGTGGACTCCACTTTACCTGAAAAAAGATGAGAATTCAAATATTGTAAGATATGACATGTTCGATGTTTATTGATTATGTCTTTTTTACAAAGTAATAAAAGGACAAGTACCCCTTAGAGATTTACTACCGCAACAGACACCTGTAAGTTATCCATTGCGCAGCCAAGCACGGGGACTGCTACCGTCTCATCGTGGTGGTCTGCTTGTACTTAGGAATAGTTTTATACCATCTACCATTCAACTATGGAACAGCTTACCAATCGATGTAAAAAATTCGAAAAACTCAGCAACATTTAAATTTAAAATGAAACCTTTTTTACAGATATTGAATCTCCCATCTGTGACCGACAGAATTTTGGAAATAGACTTTTCACGTTTTCGATTGGATTTCACACAGTTGAATGAGAACTTGGCTAAAAGACATTTAGTGGCTGCCCCCGAGTGTGAGTGCGGATATAAAAGCGAATCATCATCTCACTTTTTCCTTTTTTACGCAAAGTATATAGCACAACGTTCAGAACTGTTAAAGACGTTTCAATCTATACTACAAATAACCGACATAACAATAGATCATTTACTTTTTAAAAACAGCGACATGCTCTCTCTCGTAAAAGATAAAATTAAAATCCTATACCTTTCTGTTTTAAAATTTTTAAAGGATGCAGAACGTTTTCGCCGGACCCAATGATGTGCGACCCTTCTTTTCTCACCAAAGTAGAACTGTACTCCTAGCAGATTCCTGAAAAAAAAGAAAAACGTCTCCCTTGATATGATAAATTCTTTTTTAACTTTACATCACTTTGCTTGTTTCTTTCTTTTTTTACTTGTTGTTCTTTTTCCTGTTGTTATTATTATTCTCACATTTGTTCAACTTCAACCAACATGTAATGAGCTAGCTCGATTTGTTGGAAAATAAAAAAGTTTAGATTAGAGTATGAGCACGAGTACTAGGAATTTTGTACCATCTCTGCCGACGTGACCTTTTTCTTTTTTAGCTGAACGCTTATATACTTGATTCTGAAACATTTTTGATTCAAATGTTCTATTCTTGCCACTAGCTTCACCTTTCTTTTTTTCTACTTTCAGGTTAGAGTTTTCCTCTAAGTTTCATGACCTGGAGTCCCTCGGGACTTTTCACTTTCTGGGAGTCTCGTGGGCCTTGGCATAATCATCCCAAGTCCCTAAAAAAGAAATAACTTCTCTCTAAAAACGGGCATTCCATGAGACTTCGCATTTTTCGAGACTACCGCGGAACTTCATACGGGACGGCCGACTAGGATGGCATCAATTATTTCAACTTTTCTTTAAACTTTTAATAAAACTTAGAAGACCTGATCTGTATAAAACCTAAAAAACTAAAAATTTACATTTAAAAAACTAAAGCCGAAAATATGAACAAATATCACTGTTTATAACATAAAACACCTGAAAAGGTTAAAAATGAAAGCAAAAATTAACAAAAGAACATGAGAAAGACGAATAGCATAACATCTATTTGAAACGGTATCATTCTTTACTCAGTTTCTACATATGTGACAAAACAATGCGTTATATGTTAAGCTTTATTAGCAACGGATTTTGTTGCACAAGTGCCCCGATTAAAATTTCAACACACCTTCTAAATTGCCACTATATTTCGCCATACAGTACATAATGACAAAGCCGATGATTAGACCAATGTTTTGACACAACAAAATTTTTATTCTTAAACCTCTTGTTATTGGTATTTTATCTTTTTCATAATCTTTTTCGATTTCTTGACCCATTGAAACCAGTTCTGGGACCTTACATAAAATAAAAATAAAATTTGATAATGATCGTTAATGCTCAAAAATTCAGAAATTAAAATAAAAAAGAATATAAAATTAAATGAATTGTCTGTATAATTAGTCTTTTTATGCTCAAAGTATTACGTTAATGAATCAAGCAAAGATCTTCCCGAAAAATTATCAACTTCAAGTGTTTTTGAACAAAATTGCATCTATTGTCGCCTACAGCTTAAAGATTTCTGTTGTGTAATGTCCCTTCTAGCATTTTTCATAGTAGAGTAAAAATAGACGAAAAAGTTACTCGCAACAGTAATTAAGTATCAATAACATTCTTTGTCATTTACCATATCTGCTAAGCCAATGTAAACAAACATCCCACCAGCTAATGCATAGATCCACGGATGGATTTGAGTTAATTCTCCTAATGTTGCACCAATAAAAAAGCCTAAATAACAACTGCATGCTGATAAAAAATTCATTATTAATGCTTGTCCAATTGTTAAACCAGACGATAGTAACACAGCTATATCTCCTAGGAAAATATATACAACCAAGTACAAATGGAAGAAGAGAAAAGAGATTTATGTTTTTTTACCAAGTTCATGTGGAAATTCTTCACACGCAATGGGCAAGGACAATCTGAGACCTTCACCGGTCGAAACCATAAATGCTGCGCCGAGTGTTAATCCATCAATAAAATTATGCAGCATATCCCCAATAAATATCATCCATCCCGCTGGTCTCATTTTTTTTAAATTAACCAATAAACCATTTGTGTTATTTTTCTGTAATACAGGCTGTAACAAAAATTGAATGTGCATTTGTATGAAAAAGCGAGAGAGAGAGAGAGAGAGAGAACAACTTTCTACTGCAGTAAAATGAGCAAATAAAGAAAAGAAAATTTTATAGCTTTTTAGCGCATTGAAGATTAACTCAGACATACTTCATTATTTAATAGTTCATTTGGAGATAGTGGAACAGCAGCAAGAGCAGAATTTGAATCTAAGTGTGTTTCATTCTAAAATGATATTTTTTTATTCTAATATATGAGCATGTACATATTTAAGAGCTACGAGCAACAATAAAAGCAAATTATTTTGAAATTATATACTTACAAGTTCTTCACCATGACTATGACTTCCAACAATCTGAAAATAGAGAATAACACTAATTTAGTCATATTCAATTTTTCTTCACTCCATGTGCGTGTACAAATTGTGACAGACCGTTTTAATATTGAAAAATATTTTTAATAATTCATCACGCATATAAAATAAATAAATGACTATCATTGTTAACAATGCTTTATTCAAGTAAGAATGATGAATATCAACGTCAGGAATATCGAAAGCCTTGGAGATACAAAATTAATAGAAATTTATATTTGATTTATAGAACAACGTTTACCATTGGGATAAGATGAAATATTCCAGATCCCGTTAATGTTCCAACAGCTAAATAATAGAAAAATATATGAATTTTAAAATCAAGTTGAAACTCAACTATAAAATAGATTTTCTAAATAACGTCTCGTTTACCTAAGCCAATAAAAGCACTTAAAATCCATTTGAATGAACGTTTTTTTCGCCATGGAAGTATAATTGCACCACATAATGCTGATAAATTAATTATTGTTACAATAAAAGTACCAATCACAATATCTTAAGAAAAAAAGGGATAATCTGCCAGCAGACAAAATGCTAAAGAAAAAATATTTATTTTCAATGATATTTTACTTACTACGCCACACTGTTTTCCCTTCTGGTTTATAACAACCGACATTAAATTTTACGTTTGCCAATGCAGGTAACAATCGTCTAATATCATATTGACTAAATAATGTATTCGATTGTATATTAAACGCATCAAGCAAATCGTTGCTCGATTTAAAACACTAAAAATAGATGAAATTATGAATATGTATCATTCAACTAAGTCTTAGAAGACGTACACTTTTGTCAAGAAAAGTATTATTTATTTCGAATGTCTTAAAACTGATTGGATTTTGTGCACGTTCTATAGTATCAACATCGTTTGATAATAATAAATTTTTGTAAAACTTAGATAGAAGTGTTTCATTATTCAAATGTTGATGCAATATACTCTCTTCTATTTCTGTTAAATATGTATTAATTGCATTTAAAATGGAAATATTAAGTGAAATTACGATAAATAATACTTTCCACATTGTTTTGCTGTTGGAGCAGTACTTTCAAGTAAATGCTCTAATGTAATAGTTAGTTTACACCATCTGTGATCTTCAAATCTTTACCTAAAACATAACAAGCATTCTGTTCATAATTCTATCACAAAAATCTAAATAAATTCAATTTTTTATGAATTTCATTCAACAGTAATCTTTGTAATTGATGTTTTACTTTGACAAATTGCTATACGAAAACAAATGTGAAATAAAACATTGAAAAGAAATTCAGTCATTTAAAAAAACAAATTTAACTAAAATACAAACAAAAGTGGCGTGGCGTATACAAAAAACTGGAAAAAATTTGAGCAACATATCCTTCAAAAACGAAAATAGTCAGTCTGTACTGGCATAAGCAAAATAACATTGAATTTTAAAAATCTATTGTAAAATGAAATGCAAAATAAGCATGTATTATTTAAAATATTGCAACAGATAGAGCGATGGACAATGACAATATAACGTAATTATGCACGACATACAAAGAACGAAATTATTTGTTACAATAGTAAAACCTACCTTATGTAAAGATAGATGAAAAGAATATATCACCTTTGACAAAAATCACGTGTGTTATCATGTTCACAGACAAACTGTCGCATATAGACGAGATGTTGTTGACGCCAAAAAAAGGCAAGCAATACGGTTATTGAAATTCCTATTATAATGAATAGATTTTGAATTAATAATATACGAAGCTTAATTGTTCTATTAGATGGAATTTTTTTTGTCGATGTTTTTTGAAAAAGTTCTAATTGTAGACCAAGTTCATTCAATTCCGGAATCTAAAAAACAATTTAGATAAATAATTAAAAGTAAATGAATAAAAATTCTATGAACGTACTAAAATAACTAATGCTGTGTAAAACAATAGACCATAGACCACTGAATAAATATATTCAAGAGGGATAGAAAACAATGAAAATAACGTAAAAGTAGTCATTAGTCCACATATTGCATATCCAGTCAATAAAAACACGACGGATATCAAAACGACAGGATAGCCTCGCTTAAAACCAAGTGTGAGAAGAGGATCTAAATGAATGATTTTTAAGTAAAAATGAAATAAATAATATCTTTTTCGACTTACGAGAATTTCTATTAAAACCTTCTGTTAATATAACAAGCCATAGACAGAAACCAATGAGTCTATGATGTGAAAATGCAGCACATAATCCAAAACCATAAATAAAATCATTAATAAAATCAGTTATAATATAAGATGATTGTTTCGCTCTGGTATTTCCTTGATGAGTTGAATGATAATGATTATCAATTTCATCCTCACTTGATTTTATATCATTGATTAATTTGGCTGTCTATATTAATAAAAATCGAAAATGAAATCAAATTTAAGTCGTTTTATTTAAATCTAAAGCTTGTCGTCAATGATTTCAAAGTTTCAATAGATACTGTGCTTTACATATTTAATATAAATGTCCTATAAAAAGCTGAAAATTCAAACAGAATATACTGGTTATTAACAGAGTTTTTACAGAAAACTTTTTGAATTATAAAAGTATCATTTTTGTACTACATCATCATGTTATACATATAAAACAAAGTATCTTCTAAAATTTTCAATTTATTTCAATCGACTTTGACTTAGTTATGTAAATTGAATAATTTTATGGAATATCTGATAATTGATATATTTACCGAAACTAGATTCCACTAAAGTGATTTATTTTTTTCTGAGAAAAAAATTGATAAGAGACTCAACGTGACTGTTAATCCCTGTCTCCTTTATCTGTTGAGTTCTTACATAATAAAAAGGCTGATATAAAGGTTCTTAGTAAATCAGATGCCATAGAAAAATCGTGATAGATGAAGAAGTCAATTTATTCTTGCTAGAGAACACTCTGAAGTATTTAACCATATGAAGAAGATTTCTATAAATCCTAATTATTTTAAAGATCTTACTACTCATTTTCTGGGGAAAGGTACCTTAGCGTCTTGGCTAACAAATTGCAGTTTCCTATTTAGTTTCTATAGAATGTTAGGTGAATAATGCTTACGGCGATACCTTTTGTGGACGTATAATAACATTCTTTGATGTGTTGTTTAAACCGTTATCAATGTTGTTTTTATCGATCGTTTTTTGATTCTAAATAGGAGGAACACAGTGAATACAATAAAAACTGTCAGATAATAATAAGAGAATACCGTTGGAAATGTAGGCGATGAATGATGATGATCATCATCATTTATCTCATCAGCCTAGGATAAAAAGTGTGTTTTTGTCCAGAGTATACAAATTTCACATTGATAATGTACTAACTATTCGACTATCGCTTATATGTAAAGTTCCATGCATTTTAGCCATTTGATGAAGCATGGCTGCTTCTGGTTGTTCATCAGAATCATTTGTCACCAGATCAAATGTCATCTAAATAAAACCCGATATCCTGTTAGTGTTCAAAATAATTTTTTACTTCGTTAATTAGTCTGCCACCTGCTAGTTTGGTTAATTTAGACACATACAAATACAAACCTCTGGCGTTACTGGTACCGGTAAAGGAGGATGATCTGGCTATAATACGAGTATGTCAAAGAGAATGCCTTTAATTTAATACAACTGAGTACTACATAGTCTTCACACAACGCTAATCAATCAGTGAACCTACTTCATCTACTTTAAATCGTAAACGTAATAATTTTTCAACAATAAAGAATAGATAAACACCAAAAAATACAACAGTTGCTCGAGCAAGATATTCGTATTTGTAATCTTCATTTGGTACATCATAAATCTAAAGAAAATAGATATCATTCAAGAGATTATGATGTAAAATTGAATTATTTATTACTTGTGGTAGTAAATGATAAACAATGGTGCCTAACATTAGGCCAACAATAAATGCATTAAATGCTAAACGAAAGCATAAATTATGAATGAACTTCAGTTTTGACGAATATTCAGCATTCTTATGTTTATTGTTTGTAATATCATCATCATGCTGATTTTCAACTGTTCGTTTTGGTAAGAAAAATAATAGGATAAGGTGAATGATTTTTGTTCCGAATAGTACCAGGAAACCAAGAAGCCACACTAAAAATAAATAAATAAACAATTATTGAATCTTTTATGGAAGAGAGCATGTCATTTATTGGGAATCGAAAAAGAAATAGAACGCATACTACGTTCATCAGGCACAGTATAATTAACCGTTATGTAGTTAGTCACGTACTTTAGGAGTGCTGTGTTCAAACGCAGATCGTCAAATCTTCTCAAATGGTCTTACAAGATCATATCATAAGATTTTATAAGGTTTCACATCATCATACAAGATCTTGTGGAAATTCTACAAGATCTTACAAAATTTCCTAGAAATCAGTCTCTCTGATTCTAACAAGATTTCATAAGATTTTCTTGTAACCAGATTTCACTAGATCTTGCAAAATCTTATGATAAGATATTGTAAGATCATGTAAGACTTCATAAAATCTTACAAGATTATGTCTGTGATTCTGTCCTGCACATTCGCTCTATAGACCCTCTTTAAAAGACTATTTTTCTTTTCATAAGATTTTCTAGCGTCTAGGTAGGACTCTGACGTCGTTAGGATCGTGTATGACTACCTTCCATGATCTAATCACAAGATTTCATAAGAAAAAGACAGATCTTGTATGATCCTATAATGTGAATTTCACCTGGGAAGCTAGGCTTCGTCAGGTGATATAATCGTTACTCCTGTCTTACTATCTCGGGTCACTCATTTACTACGTTATGATGCACAAAATATTTCCTCCGGCTTCTTAAGAAGCTAATATTGGATAGTAACTGTATTTTGCAAGATCAGGCAATTAGGTTAACGAACACTGCATCAAACTGTTAGACCTATCCAGTATAGAGGTGAGACAGTTCCAGTTGCTAAGAAATGATCAAAAGAACTGGTTACCAGTTCAGTTCTTGTTGAACGCGAACTGGTACCAGTTTCCGTTCAAAAGAACTGAACTGGAACTGTCCCAGTCCTAATCCAGTACTTTGATTAATGAATGATTACTGAAGAGATGAATAACCATCTTCGAAGATTGTCGGATACAGGAAAAATATTGGGTTACTTCTTGTGAAACTGACAAACTTTACTGGTAACAGCAATCACAAAGTGGAGTATTTTTCTTTCTTTCATCAACTTTCCAAAATCTTACCATCCAGCGTTGATGCTCGCTGTTTTGGTGCTGGTAGTCTGTCGCAACCAGGATTAATTACACTATAGAGTATTGACGGTAGCAATGCCGCTGTGTCATCAATATTTAAATCTAAATTATTCCCATTTTTCACATTGTAACCATGTGCAACGAGAAGATCTTCTCCACTTTTATAACACTGAACAAGCAAATGACATTGGTTCGAAACAAATAATAAAAACAAAAGAGGACTTACAGATGTACGCAAGTAATTCTCGTCATACGTATTGGATTGTATGACAGATAGATTGATTGTTTTGTTTAAAGCATCGGTCGTACGATAATGCTTTAATTTTTCAGTTAAACTTTTGTAAAATTTATCCAAGGTTGTGGAATTATTTATGAACTTTTCTAACAAATCACGATACGACGAATCGATATTGGCTAATGAGAATGAACAATAAAAGATGATAAGCAATACGGAGCAATAATAACTGCCCATTTGATCTAAAATAGGTAGAATATTCGTGAATTTTAAGCTATACATTGATCGACCCGGAGAGTATCGCTCGTTTCTATTATAAGTAACTCACAATTGTCTTAAATGATGTCGTGAATTTTAATGAATAAGATAATTAGTTGGAACTACTGTCGAAATTATCTCTGATATTTCAGAGTAAAATACTTAAGAACAAGTTGGTCGAATGCTGCCTATTGAAGTGACGTTTGAGGTGCAAATTAGAAACTAGAAAATTTCTCGTACCTCTTATGATACAAATGTTGAAACTTTTTGGAGTTATAGAGAGAAGGAGAATACGACTGATACCAAAAGATCTCCAACGCTGTTGTCAGTTTACACTGCAAAGTTCGAGAAGATTTTAAACTAATCTACCTACACATTGATATCTAACTTTCTGTTGCATAGATTTTTCCATTTCATTTTGTTATTTTTTAAGACATATTTTAAGCCGAAATGTTGAAAAACCGCATTAGAGACTCTCAGACACTTGAGGCTTTTATGTACACGAAAGCGAAATTTAACAGTGGTTTTGAGAGAAAGCCTCATTTTTTTGTCTCAGCTTGAAAATAAAAAGAAATCATCATCCTAAGTCGTCGAGTAGTCTAAAACGAGTTTACAAGAGACGGTAGTTAAAAGCATGCAAAAAACTTGAAGTTCGAGAAAAATGTAGCATAAGTCGAAAGTTGATGATCATGTTAAAGAAAATTAGTTATAATCAATATATTAAACAAACCAGACCGAATGGAACGAGTTTTTGGCAGATTAGGCATTTTGTGTTATTAAAGTGAGTCGATCAGATCATTATCTTTTTATGATATTATAAACGAAAGACGTTTCGACATGCAAGGGCATCTACCCTCTTGGTTCACTGCGTACATATGTATGTTTGTACCAATTTTCCGTCTCGTAGTACGCATGTGCTTTTCTTTTTGTTTTTCGTTAATAATAAACAGTAGCGGTTTATTTTTCTATTAAAAATGTAATTATCAAATATTTTATCGAACTGAGGACAGGAAAAGAAGAAAATATATGGATATCCTTAACGCAGTATCCTATAGTGTTAGAACATTTTCTATCGCACATAGGTAATTAACAGTACTAGCGAAAAAAGGTGTTACTTCATGTGAAGTCTTTTCAACTGAAATATGCCCAAAATCTTGTCGATTTTGATTACCTTTTCAGTGAACCATCAAGATTTAAACTTTTGGTGGTACATTATATTTTTTTAAAAGGACAAACATTACGCTATTATATCTAGTAAATCGATTTTTGATGAGAAAAAGCGAATTTTTTTGTAGCTAGTGAGTCTAATTCAGGAGAAATTATACGTTTCGTTCGAACATGAATACATTTCGAATAGGTTTGATCATAGACTTACGACTTTTTTCACCATGAGTCTTGTGCACCTTGAATAAAATTCGTCACACAACACAATTAATAAAAAACGGCTGTTTTTACTTCATTCGAAAATAAAAAAAGTCTTTTTCTCATTATTATAGATCTAATTATTCTAACTGAATTTAGCAATACATTATGAATAGGTTGTTTGACTTTATTCGTAGTCTTATCTAAAATGATGAATCTATGTACAAATCAACATCTTAATGAAAGAAAGAACTTTTATGATAAGGTACGAAACATTTTTGTTTAAAAGGGTACAATAAATAACGAAACAGAAACATTCAGGCTTTCAGATTCAGACATTCATGATGAAAAAACTGAAATAAAAATGCTAAATTTTATCCTTTCTATATGTCATCGCATATACGGATAGTTAAAACAGAACAGTATGGCATTCTTGTAGTAGAAAAAAAAAATGCTAATTTTGTATGATACCAACACTAACAATCTTTTGCTTAAAAGTACAAGTATCAGAAACTCATCATATCGTCTCTCTCACAAGACAAAATGAGAGTTCAGCAATGAGCATAAATCGAGCTAAAATATTTTTTAATGGAAATGAAAACAGTTCTTAAAATCGTCAGAAAAGATAAAATGAGTGAAAATGTTCCACTCACATTGTACAGGTAGCTTTTTACATAAGGAAATCTGCTAGAATCAGCCGGTAATACTATTCTTTCAAAAATTACAATGTGATCGTGGACAGCTAAAATGTTTTAGTCTTTATTCTCTGTGCAACTCTTGTTTCACAAAGCTCTAAGTTTAAATTCTATTGATTTAACGAGAACACACAAACAATCTTCAACAGCTAGCGTTTAATGGTAATAGTTCTTTTTTTTTTTATAACACTGCAGAATTCTTTTATAAAGATTGCAGTACGACTGATTTTTGTATCCTGATCTTCACAATCGGGGCTTACCGTGTCTTGTGACTCCGGTGCCCTTGTATTATTCTGCTCTATGATATTTTCTCGAGTTGTGTGTAATTTTTATTGAGGAATGTAAGTTATTCTATTCCAACGCATAAACACACGTATAAAAATTATATCCCATATTTGAAATTTCATAATAACAGAACATTCTCGGCAGTTTCACCACTCAAATATTGTCGTTGCTATTCTAATATTCTGAAAATTATCTAAAAATAGATTAGGATAACAACTACATATCTATATTTTTATAGCCGCTCCGTTCGTTGATCAATCAACCTTAAAGATCACATCCTGATTACCAGTGTAATTTTCGTTAGCGAGTTTTTGCGATCAAAGGTAAACAGTGGGGAAAGTGTCAGCCCTCTCTGACATGAGACTTTAACTAGTTGATCATGTTTGATAACTAAAATGAATTTTTGAATAATAAACTTATTAAACTGCTCACCGTGAATAACTACAGTGGCGTAGGTAGGATTTTTTTAGGAAGCATTAGAGTAAAAAGAAGACTAAACAAACACATATCGCTGATAGCGGATATTTTATTCTATTCTTCAGTGCAAGTTAACTTTCTAAGGGGGGAGGCCTGTGCCCCCTAGGCCCCTCCCTTGGCTAAGCCACTGAATAACTACGGATATGCACATGCTCCTAGTGGTGTGCCTCAAAATTATTTTTGCTTGTTTCTGACCAGGCAAAATCCTCTAATTTAGCGATATTTTTCTTTATTGTATTTGAGATGGTTAGATATTATATACATGGTAGAATACCTTCCTAAGTAAAAGATCTGAATCGTGGTGCAAGAAACAAAAAAAATAATGAGAGCTTGCAACATTTCGTAAGTCAAGATCTTGTCCAACAAACAAAAAGATCGGCAAAACTTTCTGAGATCAATAAATAAGAGCGAGATTGAATATGAGAGTTTATTACTACACGGACGCGTTTCTTCAAGGGACAGTCGCAACAGTAAGAGCGTCATCTTCACACTAAAGGCGTAGTAGTAACGTGACAATTTCACACCTTAGTCGTGTCCGTAATAAAACTGAGTAGACTGGCAGTTCTACCATAAAATATAACATTGAAATGCTAACAAACAGCTGAAATCATCGGTTAGTTATAGATTTTAACAGAAATTATGCATAGTAAAGTAATTATCGTCTTTCGATAAGTTTATTTTATAAAAATAAACAAAAATATCATCTGTTCTGATTGTTTTAAATTAAAAACAATACGTTTTAAACCGATTTTAACTCTGGGATAATTAATAGGTTTATCTTACCGGACGTATGCGGATACACTGAACAGAAAACGTCTTCGTACAAAGTTTTTCTGCGGATATCAAGATAGAAAGTAGTTATGAAGAATGTGCTCGTAAGTTTGACCGACGATCGAAGGAAATTTACAGTATACGGTAAAGATATTGAAAGTAGACCTGTTTTCATTACTTACCAGTGCAAGAAAAAGGGGAAATAGCCATTTCAGTAGTTTTATGTAATTACAGTAGTACAAAAAAAAATTTACTAGCAGCTACTCTGCCACCGTATAGTAGAAAAATATATTTGGAAAAGCAAACATCTATACTACGTCGAAATCTCTTGAATCTGTTTGACTTTTTGGGTTTAAAATGAGCCATTAATAAGCCAAAAGATATTGTAGATCGTTAAATAGGTCACAGTAGTTCTTCACAGTGTTTTTAATAATCGATCGGACAAGCAAGAGTCGGGTGTAGCGCATTTCCATCGTACTACTCACATTGAGACAAACATTTCCATTTTGCTTTTCAAAATTTCGACTCTGTTTTTCTCTCTCGTTTTCCTGATCCAGAAATAGAAGAAGAAACTATTACTGACTGGAATAAACTTCCTGAGTCAATTATTTGTTTTTTCTTCTTTAACGTCTTTCAACGAGCTCAGTATCGCTTACAGTAAAATTCAACCATGTTCCTAGTCATAATAAACTCGTGCTAGTTGTTCTCTTAGCGTTATTTTATTTGTGTTTACTTTCATTGTTTCTTTATCTCTATACTATGTTGCATACTCTAGTTTCTTTTTTTCTTTTGTTTATTTCTGTTATTTTTTTATTCTATTTTTTCTCTTTCTCTCTATTCTATTTCTGTAGTTTGGTTCAAGTCATTGATATTACATGCCTTTTATGACTCTCACTTTTCATGAATAAACTAGTCTTAGTCTGAAAATAATAAAAAATGGCTGATCAGTTTCATTATCTATTCATCTATTTTATTCCTGTTTAACATGAAAGAATACGAGCTAACATAATTCTTAGAAGTACAAATACTTTTAAAGAATTCCTTATTTGTTTAAAAATTAACCTTTACGTTCTTGAATGTGGTTTCTTTCTCACCGAGCGCTCTATCATATCAAACAAATAAAAATTATTTATAAAAGGATATGTTAACTAGCGATGAGTCATAATGAGAGCTAAGCAACCACCGTTGAGGAGCTACCATGACAAAAGTGTAGCAGTAGATGTTTTTCCGTGATATTGTCACACTTTTATCGTGATATTGCTACGTTTTCATCGTGATTTTATGTGACAGTGGCTCCTGCTCGCCGGAAAACATCTTCTCTGCCTATTGGCTCATTCTCTGACAAATCAAGAACTACTTATCTTCATTCTGACTTTCATTCTCGCTCCATTTGACCAGCTGGTAGTATCATTAAAAAAAAATACATTATTTGCCTTGAATCTGACGGAGGTTTTTGTGTTGAGATTTTTTTCAATCCTTCAGTTTATTTAAAATATGCCATCTTCAAACATGAGATTCAATTAGATTTGAATGAACTCTTTATTATTCTTAGCGGTCACTCCTTTTAGACGAAAACATGGCAATTTCTGCTCGGATTGTTGATCAGTCTCTGTTTCTCTCACCACTGACTAATCCGATTCAAATTGAAGGCAATGTAGCATTATTATCATGAATACATGATAATTCATCGTTGGATGAACTAGTTATTGTCGATATTCAACGTAAGTCTGAATTCATAGCACTTATTACACATTATCCTACTGTTTTTTGTTTCTAGGTAAGTTGTACGCTGTGTTGAGGAAATTTGGTCATGCGCTAATACCACGCCAAAACACAAACGCTGCTAAAAGAATGGGATCTATGGGTATGTTCTTTTTTTAAACAACGATCTGTCAACTAGTTATAATAATATTGAATATTCTAGGACCGTTAATACTGGCAATTGTGTTAGCCGTCATTTTCCAAAGTAATCCAACAAATTCCAGTGCTGAAGTCCAATTTGTTCAAATATTTTCATCGTTGTTACTATTAATTCTCAATTATTAGGGATCCACTTTCATTTTTTTAGCGTTTATCTTGGATTATTGTCTTTTTTGCTGTTGTTATTGGCTGGATGTGTTAAAAACTTTTCATTATTTCTGCCAACAAAATCATTCGTTCTATTATTAATAAAATTTATCGTTGTATTTGTTTCATTTTCTTGGACAGTTTAGGCTAGTATTCAATTTTTTTGACAAAACACAACATACAAACAGAAAACCATTAGTGATGATGTATTCTAAGTTTTTGTTTTATTTTATTATTGCCCGATTTATTTTACTGCACTCTCATCTCAAATGAACTTACATTGATGTTGCAATCCATTTGTTCTATATGAAGAATTTTTCTTCATAGAGAACAATCTATCGTCCAATCGTGAATACTAGCTTAAACTGTCTAAGAAAATGAAACAGATACAACGATAAATAGATCTTATTAATAATAGGACGAATAATTCTGTTGGAAATAATAACAAGTTATTAACACATCCAGCTAATAACAACAACAAACTAGATTGCAATTGTGCTACACATAAGTTGCGATATCAACAGACTCCCACAATTCTGTGCAAAACAACTTAGAGAATTTTTGACAAACTGTTTTCAGTAAAATCTTGTAGAAAATCACGGCGAAAAATATTGAAAAATGATCGTCACTCTCAACCTTACAATGTAAAATTCGTTTTTTCTTCATAAAAAATGGCGCCAGACAACAAAGATATGAAAATTTTCTAGTTTTTGACATATTTTTTCCTCCACTTCTGGACCTTATGTTGCATCCAAGTCATTTTTAAAAAAACGAACATTCAATTGCCAATCTGCGACGTCGAGAAAACTTTCTCCCATTTTCAAATCTTTTCTACGTTGTGTAATTCTCTAGATTACGTCGTGAACATTTCGCAAAAAATAAATTAAAAAGCCAAAATTCCTGCAAAAACTCATCATGTCTGTCGACATAAAGGCAATACATAAACTTTAAAAAATGAAAATGAACTGAGAATAAATTATTTTTATTTTGTCTATAACTATGTGGATGTGACTATGTAGATGTGATTTACTGGAAAACATCGGCTACAGCTTTGCAACCACTTTTTTAGTTGTAGTACAAGATAGCTCTCTTAGTTTCTGTGGCTATGCATCTGAGAAAAAAGGAAACGGTTTTGAAGGAATTGCTCTGGCTTGATTTAGTTTGATATACATAAACTAGTTCTTTTCATAAAATCATTCGACAATGCGCGTCCGAGTACTCGAACTTATTTATTCGGATACATGATCCGCTAGCTTTAAACCATTAACCATGAACTCTTTATAATCCCACTTGCTTAAGAAAATTTAGTATTACTCCTGATTGTACTTATTACTCTGAGAAAACGGTTGATCTTTACCTTCTAATATGTGTGTTATATCACTCTCAACGTAATCAACTTCAAGAAAAACTACCAACCATGGATCCACCGTCCTCTCAATATTCTGTTATTAAAAACTTCTTTTTATCTCGAAAACTTTTAACTTTGTTTATAATACTGTCGTTCAATATATTGAGAAGACAAATCGATTTGAGGAATGAATTGTCATCTACGTTAAACTTGTATTTCTGAAATCACTTTTCGTCTTGGCTATTACTACATTCATCTCTTTATTTGTTATTGTCCTTTTTTTTTCTTTTTTGTTATTATTTTATTATTATTTCGTTAGTCTCATTCGCTAAGTATAGTGGGGTTCGCCCTCTTGTGGTGGATGTGAAGACTGATTATTTTTGAAAATAAAATGGATATAAGAAAAAAATACAGGAGAAATAAACTGAAGATGGGCTGACTATTTTTTGGTGTCATTAATTCTTTCGTCCACTCAAAAAATAAATTGAGTATGCCCTCGCCGATCACCGGAAAGAGAAAAAGGAATATAACGAATACTGACTGTATTGTTACTGGAGTGAATGTTTCTGGCAAATTCGATAGCACTTGGATTCTTTTTGGAATGAACAATGGACTTATTAATTTTACTTTTTTTATTAAGTTCGTATTATTTATGTAAATGTTCTAAATTGTTGTTTATTTTTATTTTAAAGCGTTATCTAATTTGTTTACTCTTCTGTTTTGCTTATGTAAGTCTACATGATAAAAGAATGACAGTGTATTAATAGTTTTTTGTTGTTAATTAGAAAGATGAATAAATCGAACAATGATTTCATGTTCTGAAAAGTTTAGTGATTAAAACTAAAAGTAAATTAGTGATAATATTAGTTGAGAGTATTTATATTGGAACTATTGTGTTTGGATGGTCACGATTCGAATCTGACGGCTGTATGAGATTATAAATATTCTATTCATACTATTTAAGACTTCTTTGTAGACATGAATCAATTGAAACCTGTTACATTAAGTAAATTTTCTACTGATAATCCACCTGACAGTGTTGAATGGTGTCCAACTCAAAGTACTTTGTTTGTATGTGGAACGTATCTTTATGATGGTGCTGATAAATCTAGGAAAGGTTCTATTTTTTGTTTAAATCTCAATGAATCAACAAATTCAATAAATACACTTCAACATCTAAACACAAATGGTATATTAGATATGCAATGGTTACAACATGATTCCACTTATTTATCAACAATTTGTTCAAATGGCCAGTTTGTTTTATACTCATTAACATCCGATCAAAATGAACCACTAAAACAAGTTTTATGTGAAGATGTAACAGCCGATCAAACATTGGGTCTAACTCATAATTGGTATCGTCCAAGAGATATAAATCAATTGACATCATCACGTTATCTTGTTGTTGGCGATCAATCGGGTTCATTAACATTAGCTGAATTGAATACCAACGGTTTAGAATATATTCAACAATGGCAAGCGCACGATTATGAATGTTGGACATGTGCTTTCGATTATACTAATTCCAATATTGTGTTTAGCGGCGCTGATGATTGTTTATTCAAAATATGGGACATTAGAGAACAAGCAAAAGAAACACATTTATCACGCGAACATAAAATGGGCGTGTGTTCAATAGCAGTGAGTCCTTTTGATGAACATCAATTTTTAACAGGTTCATTTGACGAATATCTAAGACAATGGGATAAACGCATGTTAGATAAATCATTGAAAGAAACAAAGTTGAATGCTGGTGTATGGAAAATAAAATATCACCCGCAAAATGCACAAAATATCTTGTGCGCATGTATGGCCAATGGATTTCACATTGTAGATAACACAAATTTAACTGTAAAATGTTCATATACGGAACATACATCTTTAGCATATGGTTGTGACTGGAAACACCGCGATCCTCTCAATGAACTAGCATCAATGAATATGGATGACCATGACATTACTAACAATTTACAAGACAATGACAATACAGTAGCAACGTGTAGTTTTTACGATAAAAGTGTACATGTATGGAAAACTCAGACAATTCATTAGTTCTTTTTCTGTAACTTTATCTAATAATCTAAGCATTAATAAGGTGCGTTTGTCGCTGAAATAGCGGATATCGAAAGTTGTTGTATCTCGAACCGTGGTTATACATAGTGATTGACTGTTACCACGAAAAAATCCTTAATTCAACGATAAAACCATATTTGCGACTATATCGATAGAAAGGCGACTATGACTTTCATGGTAATTTTTGACCCCAGAACGGGATATATGTAGGTTTGTACAGGAAGACTTCCTCTATCTAGTGGTATATATATTATCAAATTCTGTTGCGTACCGTGAGAGAAAATTAAAGGTAACCCCTCTCTTTTTACACTTTTTTAGAAATATTTTTTATTTTTGAGTTAAATATTGTACATTATAGAGTAAAGTGTCCT